TGACAATGACAATGACAATGACAATGACAATGACAATGACAATGACAATGACAATGACAATGACAATGACAATGACAATGACAATGGCAATGACAATGACAATGACAATGACAATGACAATGAAAATGACAATGACAATGACAATGACAATGACAATGACAATGACAATGACAATGACAATGACAATGACAATGACAATGACAATGACAATGACAATGACAATGACAATGACAATGACAATGACAATGACAATGACAATGACAATGACAATGACAATGACAATGACAATGACAATGACAATGACAAAGACAATGACAATGACAATGACAATGACAATGACAATGACAATGACAATGACAATGACAATGACAATGACAATGACAATGACAATGACAATGACAATGACAATGACAATGACAATGACAATGACAATGACAATGACAATGACAATGACAATGACAATGACAATGGCAATGACAATGACAATGGCAATGACAATGGCAATGACAAGGACAGCTATCGATAATAAGGACAAAGACAACAATACGATAATTGCATTGTTAACAATATGATCATAACAATAATAATGCCTATAAAAATTACAATGCTAATGATAATGCTGATAGCTAAAGTTTTATAGGCTATTTTCTAGTCGAGGACGCCCTTAATACACTTTGTTTTTGTTTTATTAATTCCAGTGCTGTCTTGTCTCCTTCTTCTTCTTCTGCTTCTGCTTTTTTAACATGATCGTCTTGCTGGTCTTGGCCTTTTTAATGGTCCCACCATAAACTGCGCCACTTTCGTAAAGTTGAAATAATTCAAGTGCGTTGTCATTATACCCCCAGGTCCGAACGTAAGCCCGACTTGTCTTGTGTGATCACTGTACATACAGATGTACATACTTACGTGTCCATGTGAATGTATGTGTGTATGCGTTTATGTACGAGCATACATATATCTTGCTGTGCCTTTCACTCAGCTTTGTTGTGCACGTATGCCCGTTAACCGATAAACATTTCGATAACTGTCTTTTTGCTTTGTGGGTGCACGGAGCAATGTACGTGACATTGATTAATGTGTGTGTATGAGCGTGTGTGTCTCAATTTGTGAGTCTTCTCTTTGCATTCCATTTCGACTTGAGCCGATGCAGAACTCTATTTATGTTTGTTTTCCTGATTGAGCCTGGCGGCGTATTGCCTTCTCCTCTCCCTCCCTCCCTCTCTCTTTCGCTGTTGCTCTGCCTCTATCTCTTTGTTTGCCTTATGCTCGTCTCTTGCATATTCCACTCAAATGCCCGGCTCCTTTTCACTCAATTCCCCTGCTTAGACACTTCCTTTTTATGCTTCCGCATGCAGCTTCCCTGTTGTTGCCTTTGCTGCGCACCCGCCCCTCTCCAGCCATGCTCTCTTGAGCGCATTCGCATACTCTATCGCTCTCTCCTCGTTGTGCATGCGACGTGGCAGCCTGGGCGCCGGTTCTCGTTCTTTTTTTTCAATTATGCACTCGCCCAAAAGTCACTAAGTGTGTAGATCAAAGTGCACAATTTATATACGAGGCCGTCAGCATGTAGCATATGCCATACATGTGCATGCATATACATACATATATGTATGTATGTATGTATACGAGTGTGCATGTGTATGTGTAAGTGCAACATCTGCAGACACTGTACCTCGCCTTGCTGCATCAGCCTTGCATTTCATGTTGAGCAACTTCTCCTGTAGATCGTTCCATTTGTCACGTACGCAGAAATTGCGGCCCATAATGTTGACTATCGTAAAACTCGATATATTTATGTATATGGGATAGATGGTATATAAGTATGATGGACATGTGTGAAACCCCATCTTCTATCCTCTATTTCCTATTTTTCATCTCTTATCTCCTATCTCCCCTCTTCTATCCCACCTTCTATCTCCCATCTCTTGTCTCCTATCTTCCATCTCCTATCGCCTATTTCCCATCTCCCATCTCCTATCTCCTATCTCCTATCTCCTATTTCCCATCTCCCATCTCCCATCTCCCATCTCCCATCTCCCATCTCCTATCTCCTATCTCCCATCTCCTATCTCCTATCTCCTATCTCCTATCTCCTATTCATCTCCCATCTGACTTCAACTTTCTGCCTTTTTTTACATTCATCTATGTATATCTCTTTTTTTTTTTAAAAAACGAAGTGAAATAGTTTTCAAGTGCTTAAACATATCTTCATAGTTTATAAAAGAAAAACTCAAGTATTCGAAGGCTGATGAGCTGAAAACAAACACTAATAGATGACGACTATCCCTAATGCATATTGGATTCGAAATTCGAGTTATGGGAACTCCTAAACTCAAGTGGGTTTTTGCTATTRATAGTCAAAGAATAAAGATTTTGCTCCTTTTATGGATCGACTGAATAATCCGACTCAGCTCATAGGCAAAAAGTTGTTCAGGTTTGGCTTGGAATATATGATGAAATAATGATAAAAGTTGTGTATATAGGTATATGTTTCTGTTGATCCGGTTCAAGCTGCGTTTGGGTTTTCAAAAGGCTGTCAAGCTGCTGCCATATAAATGGAGCTATCCTTAATGGAAAGTCATTAAAGATATCTTGCTTGAGCTGCAGATTGAGCAATTCTTGCACACACACACGTATGCACACACATACACGCTGCATGCCACACACTGACTGCCGCATGCCGCACGTAGCGACGTATGTCCCATGCTACATAGGCCGGGCCAGTCGCTGAAGTCAAGCATAAACCATAAAGAGAAAACCTGAAGTTGGGTCGTGTGGGTTTTTTTTAAGGCTTGGCCCTGTTTTCAAGGCTGGTGGGGAGGGGAGGGGAGGGGTGGGCTACGGGTTGGCGTGTGGTTGGGGGCTGGGGCAGGGAGCAGGTGGCAGGGTGCTGGCACCTAGCCGGAGCCCACCTTCCACCTTCTGCATTTTACAAACTCTGTCTGCCGATCAGATCGTTGACAATGCTTTTTCTTTTTGTGGGCAGCACGACTCGTTGTCAAGCGAGTTGGGAGTACCCAAATGCGAAATACCCTACATTTTCTTGGTTTACAACGAGATCGTTCGTAAACGGGCATTTTAAGTCCTAAGTCAGTCATTTGTAGCGATATTTATCGATACCATAGAAATGATCACTAATGGAAATCAATGCCATTGCTTGTTTAAGCAAAAAAGTTAGGCTGTCGATTATTATCGATAGTTATCTATTCCGGCTAATCGAAATGATAGATGATTGAAGTAGAAGTAGGAAAAGAAATCGATAGAGAAATTCAGAGCTTGGTAATAATAATGAATGATCAGTGTCATCGAAACTGCCTTCACCTGTCTGTTATATAAATAAACTTTAGGATATTGAACTCAATTTTTGCATAAGTACAGGGTATACAAAGCTGTTTTTAGCCTTGTTTGCTTTGTCGTGTGTGAGTGTGTGTCTCTGGCTGTGTGTGTGTGTGTGTGTGTGTGTTGAGCTTTTGTCTCAGTCAAGTTGAATGCCCTCGTTGATTCTTGCTTCGGCTGCCAGCGAAACTCGCTGACGTCGCCAAAGCAGGCCCAAAGAACCCAACGATGACGTTTCCAATAGCAACTCCAATGAGATTCCAATCAGAACGCCAACAGGGGAGCCAAACTAGTGGGTCTGTGAGTGTGTGTATGTGCGGCATACCTGTTGCCTTGCATTGGCATTCGCTGGTGTGTTGCCAAGCAACAAGTTTCGATAAACGATAAACGGATGAGCGCAGATGGCACGCTAGAGGGCGCCAGCAAAAGGATGCGGCCGCACACAGCTGATAAAACAGCTAGGGCTAGAATAACAGTCGAGTCTAACAGCAGGTGAGCGAGAGAGAGCGCTAGCAAGCGCTCAACTCATACACGCGCAATCGGCTAACTGCCTAAGCGCGTGTGTGTGTGTGAGTCTCTGTATGTGCGTGTGTGTGTGTGCTGCTCGCTAGCAACAACTGAAACGAACAGAAACGAAGTTAAAACAACGCTTCAGTACAAGCTTGGCATTTGCTGACGACGCCGACTTTAGTTTCTCATCGCCGTCTCTTCGTTTGTATCTTCTATCTGTGTGCGTGTGTGCGTGTGTCTCGCTGCCTGTGTGTGTGTGTGTGTATGTGCGCGGGCGCTTAGTGCGTCATCACTCTAGCAGCTACATTGTGCAATCGAACAGAAAAAAAACAACAGCAACAACAACAGCAACACCAACAATAATGAAGAAAATGCCAATGCTGCCAGCGCTGATGTTGACGGCGCTGCTCTGGTGCTGCTGCCKCCTGCAGTGCACATTGGCAATTGAGTGTTACGTATGCGATGCGAGCGACACGAAGAATCCGTTCCAGTGTGGCGAATGGTTTGATCGCTTCGATCAGCCCGACATCCAGCCACAGAACTGTTCGAGCGTCCATGGCGCCACGTTCTGTGTGAAGCATGTGGGCCGCTTCGAGGGCGGCATTGGGGCGAAACGTTTCTGCAGCTCCAAGGATTTGGGCAACTATTGTGACTATGTGCGCAATAAGGGCGATCGCATGGATTATCGCAGCTGCATCTACACCTGCGATACGGATGGCTGCAATCACTCCAATCAATTGGCCAGCAGCAGCAGCGTGTGGGGTGTGGCGCTAGCGCTAGCGCTGCTCACGCGGACAGTCTGGCAACGCTGCTGAGAGCGGACAAGAGAGCGGCAGAGCGAGAGCGAGAGAGCGTAGCTTAAACAGAGCTTTGTAAACAAAGCGGACAAACAAACAGCAAACAGCATGTTGTTGGCTTTGATTACTTATGCGTTTTATATTTGTTTTTTCTTCTCGTCTTCTTCTTCTTCAATTTTTTTATACAAACAAAAATGTAATTTTTTTTTTTTTTTTTATACGTAAGTTAAGTTAAGTTGAACATGAGTAAAGATTCCCACACATAAATAAAGAAAAAAGGCGGCTTTTTAATTGTCATTGGGCATGGCACATGCCTCAGCAGAGAGAAGGAGAGAGAGGGAGAGCGAGAGAGAAGTTTAGACAGACGATGGGGGGCGTGTGTGGAGGTCTTACGGCTTACAATTTGATAGCTTTGCGGCAATATTGGCTAATCGACAGATTGATCTATGCGATTGCCGCTGCAACTGTAACTGCTGTGACATACATTTCAACGACGCAGGATACCCTGTAATTGGCAAATATTCAAATTAGGGTATATTGTTGTTAAATTAAGCTTTGCTTGCGTTTCTATTAACTGAACAACTACTATCGAATATATTTTTCTACTATATACGCTGTAAGTACCCTCGAAACATGAAATTGACTCACTGCTGCACGACTAGATATACCCTGTCATAAAAAATATTTTAAAATTTGTTAACTCGACTTGGGATTGTTAATAAAATATTGAAAGTCTCAACTGCAATAAAGATAGTGGCTGAGGTACGACTTGTTATACCCTGTAATAGGGAAATATGAAGATCAAAAGGATGTTGCTGTATCAAAAGTAAATATCCGGAAAAAACAAATAGTTGCTGGAGAACGACTTGTTATACCCTGCAATAAAAATATGTTAATAATAAGCCTTAGTTATAGGTATGAAATTAGTTTAAAGTCTTCAAGGAATATTCGATATATCTCAGGTTAAATCTAAAAAAAACCCTCTGTAATTCGGATTATGTTTTCGGACTTTAAGGGGTATCTCACGGTCGATTTGCTACCTAGAACTTGTGTACTAGTTTGAAAGTTGTCGTCGTTGCCAGCCAATTTGCCTTGAGGTTGTCTGACGACGCGCGACCCTCAATCAAGCGGATTGCAACCTGTGCGGTTGGAAAAACGAATCGAATCGAATCGAATCGAAAGATTAAAGATGAAAATAWAATTGATATTGACATTTCATTAAGCGAGAATCATTTAATGCGGCTCAATTTGAGGTTACTTCTTGATTGAGAAGCCAAGTCTCATATATGTACTTATTATATATGTATGTAGATTTGATGCTAGGTATTTGCCACCCACGATTTGTCAATTCCGATTCCAATTCCAATTCCAATTCCAAGTTCCATTCTCAATTCCAATTCCAGTTCCATTTACAGTTGCGTAATTGCCTAAATTGAAAGCGCCTTGAGGGCCTATCATTGTCATTGAGGCGCTAATTTGTCTCAGCGCCTGGGCGGACAAGCCCAACCACCCAAAATAATAATACCAGCTACGACATAGATCACATAACACATATAATATGTATGCTCTATATATAGCACTCATGCTCTCAGTCTCTAATCGAGGCCTCGCTCATTGCTGTTGCTTCTTATCAGTCCCGTCTCTGCGACTAATCTACGTGTGTCCACAGCAATTGGGCCTGGCTCTGCAGACTTTTTTAATTTCAATTGACTTCTCTGACATTGGCTCATCAGACGAAACTAAATATATATACATACGTACATAGATTTATGTATTTATACATATGTATAGTAAACTCTTAAAGTATATCTGTGAAAGTGAGCTTGGAACTCTTGATAACAAAATTTCTGCTCTTATATTTTGACATCGCTTACTGTTTTATTTTCATTTATTTNTCTAAAAATGTTCAAATTAGGCTAAAAAAACAAAATCAATTTTTCGATTATTCTCGATAAAAAAGTTATCGGACGATTTATCGAAAAAATAAAGCAAACTCGTACTGCGTATGGTACTCACGAGTATGCATGCCAAATTTCAGCTCTCTAGCTCTTATAACTTCTGAGATCGACGCACTCATACGGACGGACGGACGGACGGACGGACGGACGGACGGACGGACGGACGGACGGACAGACGGACAGGGCTATATCGACTCAGCTCGTCGCGCTGATCAAGAATATATATACTTTGTGGGGTCTGCCACGCCTCCTTCTGCCCGTTACATACTTTTTCACAAAACCATTATACCCTGATTTCCCATTTTCAATGGGTTCAGGGTATAAAAATTACAGCTTACTTTGATTTCCCATTACCTGATTTAATTTTTTGTTTTGAAATATGTTAACTATCTATAATCTTTAATTTATTATCAAATATTGAAGTATTGTTGGATCTAAATATATACCTCAATTCTGAAATATATATACAGTAGAGTTCCAAAAATTCAAAATGGCAAGGGGATAATTTTTTTTTTCGATTTACACACAAATTTTAACTATCGAGAATCATTGAAAACAAATTTCTTTGAAGGGGATAGAATTTTTGTATTGCGATTTTCGATTTAGCGTTGTATGAATTATCGAGACTCGACTGTATATACATAAATATATAAGTTTTTCTATTCTGTAATTATGTATATAAAAATTTCCAAAGGGGTTTGTATCGATAATCTGGCAGCGCACAGATTCCGGCTCTGTTTTATTATTGTATTCGACTTTACAAGCAACTAATACGGCTCATTGATATTTGTTAATATCGCATAACCGTTCTAAATATCGTATGTTGCATATTAACTGAACAGTTGGTTTTCATAGTGCGGATCGTTAACAGCAAAGTCAAGTAGCTGCATCGTTGAGTGCCACTCAATGGCATCCAATTTCCTCAGCAACAACAGCAACAACAACAACATCAAGCTGGGATTTCGATTTTGAATTCGAGCTCGATTCGTGACAAATGGAAACAGAAATGTTTCGTCTTCATAATCTCGAATTGACGTCAGTTACAAATGTGTTTTGGCATCTGATTTCCTGCTCGAAAGGTTATAGGCTGATAATCGGCCGCGTAACGAGGCCACATCATTATTATGTAATATAATCTGTGCTATACCCTGTAATTGCGAGCACAATTACAGAGTTCGCTGGGAGCGGGGCAAAAGAAGATAAGCAGAAAAGAAATTGTTAGGAAATTCTTTGAAAATAGGCTGCCAACGCAGGGGATAAATAGTGGATTCTAAGGTATAATAGTGGATATATACTCTGTAGCTTTTTTTTTTTTAGATATCAAAGCGCTAGTAGGAAGCTATCATATATGAATATCCTGCAATTTCAAAGTATTATGTAAAAAATGAGGGTATATTAATTCTTTAAATGTTTACACAGGCAATCAAAAGAACAGTCTTACATACCCTGTAATTTGGGGATAAACGGAAAGCTAATGAACTCTTCTGAAAAAGAATACACAAATAACAGCTGCACACGTTGTATGCCCTATAATTTGTATTGTATAATGTTTATATTACGCAAGGCAGATGAGTCGCAGTCTATTGCATTAAAATCATTTCTACATAATGATAACAAATCGAGCCTTTATTTGTACAATGTAAACATTTACGGAAAACTCTGTAAATTCATAAGAGATGCAATCGTTAACAAGTTGAGAGGCTCTACTATCAAATCAGAAATCAGAAAAGTCTGTTAGTTGAATACCCTGTAAATTTAAGCTATGACAGTGGAGAGGTATTTCTGCTGAAGCGTTAACGTATCAAAGAATTGTAATAACTAATTGGAATACCCTGTAATGACAGATAAACGAAGGGAAATTCTTTCCGATTGTGCGACTTTTGCAAATTACAGGGTATTTGATGCTGCATCAATCAAGCGGCTGTCTATGCCGGCGCTATTTCGAAAGGCGAGAGGTCAATAGCATTGCCTGATACGCCCAGACGCCCAGTGATGAGACGCGACGAGACGGAGACAGGAGTCGCATGTTCGAGAAGTTCGGCGCGCTGTAAAGATGAGGAAGGGAAAGAGTGAGACGCTAACTGCATCGGGTATGCTGGAGGGAAGCAACAGCAGCAGCAGCTGTTCAAGGTCACTGCCAAGCGGCGGCAATGCAATGCGAAGCACTCTGCAAAGCGCACCAGCCGATAAAAATAGAAGCGCAGACAAAGGCAAAGCCATAAAAACGGAAATAGATCCAGACCGAGACAGAGGACAAAAAAAAAAGCTATGGAAAAATCTGTAGAGTCGCGACGCATTGAAATTTCCGGGCAGTAAAAACCACATTAGAACGTGCCACATGTTACACACACACACACACACACACACACACACACACAGACACATAGAGACATAATAAAGAGTGTAAACAACCCTAAAATTCCTACATCGCATTACCCCTAACCCCTAGCTCGTTAGACTATTTATGCTCTACCAACGGGTAATTCGATTTTTCTATGTAAAATAACAGTGATATGGGTTCTATGAAGCATATATACATATGTCTATATATAGATACGAATCAGGCTATAACGACGCTGCCTTAAGCGTCCTTGATGTTATAACCAAGGGAGGAAAGTTATGTGAAGTGAAGTCGTTATAAGCGGATTCTACTGTATATATAGATTAACGATATCTCGTTCAGGTTTTCTTTACTCAAAGCCTTAACAGTGCGATTCATATATAATGAAAGTCTTTGATCTATTGTAGTCATATGTATTTTTCTACAATGTTACAGCCAATTCTATATCAAGCTAAACCATATCGTATTTTGCGGTTCAGACTTTGATTCCTTTTGTGGTTCGTTTACTTTGCGGTTCAACACGCGCGTTCCTATTTCATTTGCACTTACATACATACAGGCATATATATATAAACTTTTATTTATTTT